GAGAGAGAGAGAGAGAGAGAGAGAGAGAGAGAGAGAGAGAGAGAGAGAGAGAGAGAGAGAGAGAGAGAGAGAGAGAGGAAAGAGCCTTTGGAGTCTTGAAGTTGCAGACATGGTCGTCGGGACAATTAGAGCACTAACTCAATGCTGCTGCCATTGTGTTTGATGCTTTATGTTTCTAGTTGTTTTCCCAATTCATTTATTTTTTTTAGGAACATGGTGGGTCTTTGTTTTGTTTAAGTTCACATGTGTCTCTCTGTGTGTGTATATTATATGTATATATTGTTGGGGACGAAGGTTGTTGACGACGGCAAAACTCCGGCGATTCGAACGATCCCGATAAGAACTTACAATAAAAGATTATTATCGAGGACTATGAAACACAGTTTTCTTAAGTTCGATTTTCCTGCCACCTCTAAAGCTTTGAGGTTATTGGAGCACGGTGAACTCTCAAGATACAACGACCGCGTATTCGGGAGAAGCTTTTCCGAATACCAAGCAAACCCAGAGTGAGATATGAGAATGCTTTGTTTTCTTGTGGTGTGTGAAATGATCTAATCAAGACCTCTATTTTATACTAGTGAGGGAAGCATCTCACATTAATGTGTAGAATCAATCAGATTCCAATTTGATATTATTTTGATTGATACTTACCACAATCAATGGATTTTATTAAGATTTGATTTTGCAATTAATCAAGGATATTCTCTCATTAATCTGCAACTTTTCTATCAAGATTTCCAGAACCTTCCATGGACGGGACTTCTCACGGGATAGGCTCGTTTTGATTCTATCAAATAAACCCAAATCCAATATATATATATATATATATATATATATATATATATAGTTTATGTTCATTGTTCTATATAATCCCATTTGGGTTTATATGATTACTATATAAGTAACTAATAATAATAAAATTAACAGTTCTTTTAAAATATGTTTTTTTTTCTACAAAATAAAGGGTCGGTGTTGTCTCCACTCCATTAGGAGACGTGAAGACATTGGACGAGAAGAGTTGGAAAAAGGACAAGATGATGATGTTATGGTTTCAAGTTTCAGTCTACGACCAGTTAATGATCTATAAAATAAAATGTTATAATCCTCCTAGAATTAACAAAATCACTTCAAAATTACAAGTTCGATTATACTAGTGAAGAGAAAGAGACGTAATTAATTACGTAACTAAAGGCTGACTTCAAATCTAGGGATTAAGAGGGCCGAACCTAGTAAATCTCCTAATTATCCAAAAAAATTTATCTAGTGAGCCTATGTTATTTTTTTTTTCTAAAAAGGTGATAATAATATTTCATATTTTGGATTAAAAAAGAAAATTTTCGACGAAAAACCCACATATGATCTATATATATACGGTGTAAAAACACAATGTTCTAACATTAATCCTTGTTTCAGTTTTGTTAGCTATGGATCTCATCATTTAATCTTCATTTTATGTTAGGAACAATAGACTAAAAAATCACGATTTTCTTTTTAAAACAGTTTATATAAAATCATCAACTTTATATTTTTATTTTAAAATCATGAATTTTTCGAATCTTACAATATTCTCACGTATTCACTAACTAACTTTACAAATTTTGTAAACTTTATATAAAATCATAAACTTTATTTTATTATTATATAGTGTATGCGTGTGTATATATGTGGATGCGATACATCAAGTACTGGTTTATTCAGTGGCTTGTTTCCGTACCGTTGGGGGCCCACAGAAGGTATATCTATCTACCTATAGGAGGAGGGAGCTAAAGGGCAAAAAAAAAAGTAGCTACGAGGCTAGACAACGTGTCGTTTTAGGACAAAATGGACGACATGAATGCCGTATTTGGGACTATTACACGACAGACACTTCGTTTTAGCTCCTACGAACTTTCACCGAGATGGAAAGAAAACCCTACTGGCTATTTGCAATCCCTACTTCCCATCACTATCATCGCTTTTTCAAGGTAATAATGTTGCTTTTACTTTACAACATACATACAAACGCATATACACATCCCTATATAAACACATGCACGCATGGATGCATGCGTATACCTTATGTGTATCATTTCGACATGCATGTGGATTTTATGAAATTATATTTTCTAAAAATCTAATGACAGAGAATAGTATATATGTATATATATATATATGTGTATATGTGTATAGGAGGAAATTCTTTATTGAAACCCACTTACATGCAGAGACAATGCCGGTCAAAATCACGAAAACTGCAACACAATGGAAGCCTATACGTCTAAGGAAAGAGGAGACAGGCAAAACAGATAGTACGCATACCCCTACATCTATCGAAATCATTTTACCCTTTTATAACGAGTACTAGCTATAACTATTACACACTATATTATATTATATGACTGTATATATATATACATACACACATAGATATGTGTGTGTGTGTGTGTGTATCCTTGTGTCTCTGTGTGTGTACCCAACTCGGTTGAAGGCTTGAAGTTGATTGAATGATGTTAATGATGATCGAATTCCTAGTTTAGTTTTGATAGAATGTTATTATTATACCGTTTTCCGCATAGTGATCATAATTCTAACTATATATAGATCTTAAATTACAATAGATACATGATTTATACTATACGTTTTTATATATATGTGTAATACGACTAGGATTAAAGTTTAGTTTAAAGCTACTACTATATATGGGAATTAATAAACGAGAACTCAAACCATTAAAGCTCATAAACCTTTGTTTAGTATCGTAAAGCATTCTCATACGTGTATAATCTCCTCAGTCTAATTCGTATAAGTTAGTGCACGAGCTGAGAGAGATAATGCAATGTTTCAGCGATTTAGATAGGAGACATGTAGATTTATACAAATCTATATATAACCATTTCAAATGACTTGAATATCGCTTTGTCAAGAGATCCAAACGTAATATATATATATATATATATATATATTCTCTAACAATTATTACAGGCGATGAAGGTTTTGTCTACGACCATCCCCATGCATCCGAGTCGACAAATATTTTATTAGTTTTGTCATGTGTTAGAGGTCTGACTTTTTATCAAACATGCAGAAATGCACTATGAATATTGATATAAAAATGGAAAGAACAAAACCCTTCGTGTACTTTGATCGTGGACCGTATATTATGTAAATTAATAATTATATTCAAATGGCGATTATTATTAAGTTTCAATTTGTTTGCGAAGCTGGCATTTGCATGCACTGAGACCAAATTGCTGCTTAAGCGAAGCTTCCCAATAATATTCCGTTCGAACCATTAATTAAGCGATTGTTTATTGCATTTGGGTCAAAGTCCAAAGACACGTAAATGATTGAATTCCAAGCATGTCTTTTCTCTATGCCAATTGCTAACGAACTGTTGGATATATAATAATATTCGGAATTAATTTTTGTCAAGGGAATATTATAATTGTAGTTTTTGAGATATGAAAGTTCAGCCAACCGTCCATAAATTTGCATATAAAACAATGGAAAATGTCCATGCAATGATAATTAGAAACCAGAATCGATCAACGGAAACAAAACCAAACCAATCTAGTTCATTTGAACCAAACTAGAAAGAAAACTCGTTATGCATAGATTGAGTCCGGACCGAATCGAACCGAAACCAAGATATTGACATCGAACCGGGTATTATTGTTCAGAAATAGTTCAGCTTCATTTCGCACGAACCGGATCAAACCGACCCAAATTGAACCCTAAGCCAATCCCTTCTAATAATAATAAGGAACAATCGGTGCATGTTTGAGTTTCCCTGATATATACATTAAAAACATTTATCATGGTAATAAGGAACATTCTCTGCGACATAACATCAAAATAAAATGTATAAAAACACCCTTTTTTCTTAAATCAAAACATTAAAATTTTCCCTTTTTTTTCTTTTTTTATTTTAAATCAAGGAGGTATCGAAATTGACAACTCGAGATTTACAGACAAAAGTAGGCAAGGCTTTGATTAAATAAACGGTTTAAGAGTGGACAAGTTCTCAATCTCCCACGTTTGTTACGGCATCGGATGCATGCAATTGAATTCGATACAGACAGCTTGATGGATATGGACTCCTCTCTCGGTACAATGTCCGAAAGCTACCTTTTCATGTATCCATTTTTCTTCCGACATTATATAATTAATATTTCTTTTGAAATATTTTTATGATACATTCATCGGTCCACTTCCTTTAGCCGTTACACTTTGGGTAATCATACCCAATCTTAGTTTTATTAAAAAATAAACATAAATTTTCAACAAACAATAGACTAGGAAATAAAGTGGTATTTATTAACTTCATCACCCAAAAAATAAATAAATCAGTAGACTATAAAATTTTATGTGTCAAACCAATTTCGAGGCTTAGAAGTATTTGACAGTAGGTAACACATGAAATTATCTTTACTTTTTTATTTTTTATTTCTGATGTATATAAAACGTGGCAATTTTGACGGAACCACGTCAGTGTTGATAGTTTAAAATTTGATCGAATTTTTAGAAAAATTAGAAAAAAAAATTCAAAAAATTTGTATTTGATTGTGAATTTGAAAACAGAAAAAGTTTCGTATATGAATCTTTTGTTTTTGGTTAAAATATATGAATCTTGTAGTTAAGTCATAATCGAATAGATTTTATTGGGATTTTCCCTTTATATAAAAACAAATATAATAACGATAGTTTCTATTAAATTCATGTGAGATTCTAGATTTTGTGACGAGAGCTTAGATTTTTGAGCTAAGTAGTTGCGGAACAGTATGTCGTGTTGGAGTTGTATCAAAATCCAACTACTACTACTAAGATCTGCGGCGATATAGGGGGTAAAGATTTCATTTGAAGCTTTCTATATATATATATATATATATATAAAAATAGGTTCAAACTTTACTTTAAAATTATTATAATTACAAAAAAAGAGTGTTTGTACTTTGGAGTGGCAAACAAAAATAATGATTAGTTCATTCATTGCAAAAATTAATCGAATAAAATCTATCTAAGATTGTCTTTAAGATTCGGAGGATATTGTTTCCATTAAAACACTTAGTTGTCACATCTGTCTTTAATCGAGTTCGTGTTCGTGTTAGCTCTTCGTTATCTAATTCTAGATCCGAAAAATCGTTTTATTCGATCTTGTATTAATTTTTTAAAATAGATTGCAAAACAGCTAGAAAAGAATTTAAAATAATATCCTACCGAAATATGGAGGAAAATCGTTGGGATTTATAATGTTTCTTCTATATATTCATTTTTTACAAAAATTATTTATAAAATATCTAAATCTAACGAAGAATCAGAATTCTATAGATATAGAAATATCTGTATATTCGAATCCATTTCTCATGTCTCATATATCACTTATAATTTCGGGTGATAAAATATATAATAAAAGTATTGTTTTTCCTTTGTCTAATCTATTGTAAATTTATATATTTGTGTGATGAAATGTGAATATCCCAATTATAAATTTCCAATGATCAGATATATTTTTCTTATACCAAAAAAGCACATTTTCAATCGATTTTTATCACAAACAAATCCTATTTATAAGAGAACAAATACTATATCTTAAATATTTATAAGAGAACATGTACTATATCTTAAATATTTATAAGAATCACGTTTTTTTCCTCTAATCTCGTTTTCTTTTTCTCCAATTAGTCCATTCAGCAAGTTATAACATGTTTGATTCATTTCGTTCTAATAAAACACTAAAATAAGCTGTGATTATAATTGAATTTGGGACTAGCCCTTGAAATTTTGCATTCCGTGCAGGAAACCAAAATGGAGAAAAAGGAAAAAAACAAACTAATTAAAAAGGCAATATCACCTCTCAAAGTCCATGCCTTTGCATTGCTCCTCTCTATACGTTATTTCCACATATACACACACACATATATATACATACACATTTGTAAATGAATATAAGCTCTGTATCAAACAAAAATAAGTAACGAACACAGATCATTAATAAGGATTCCAATGTGATTTACGGGTCGTACATTTTTGTTTAGATTACATTTGGACTTACATAAATTCGGGGACTACATTGCTATTCCTCGCAAAAAAAAAAAAAAAAAAAACTAGAGGGAGAGAGAGAGGCGGAGAAGAAAGAGATTGAGAATGAAGATGTGAGCTCCAAAAATGGCGGAACACCTCCGCCTTCACAGACTTTAAGCTCTATTTTTTTTTTCATATATGTCGAGAGAGAGAGTATGAATACCATGAAAATGTGTTCTTTTTAATTAGAGATTTATAATATATCGGTGTGTTTTTATTTTTCTTGATGCAAAAAAATAATATATTTGATGGGGTTTTTTTTTTTTTTCATTGAGGTTTGGGCAAATTAGCTGGAAATGGCTGGAAAACCTACTCCTCCAAAAACTGCTTCACAATCTTCACGCTGGTCTCCAAAATCTCGTTTTTCCATATCTCTCTCCACCTCCCTCCACCGCCACCGCCGTCTTTTTCCTCCGGCGCCGGTGATAGAGCCGCCGAGAACGACGCCGTCGCGTCGAGTCGAGTCATTTCCCAGCCGGAGCTCCTCAGCTTCAGGATCTTCCCAATCTGCTTCTTCGCGAGCCGACACGTGTTCTCTTTGATCTCCCTCACCGCCTCCTCGTACGCCGCCTTTCTATCTGGGTCCCACTCTTGCTGATTCGTGTTCGATTTTCCCGGCGGGTGCATTCCGAAGTACCGGTCAAACTCCGGCACGCCTATCGCCTTCCCTATCCCTTTCCGAGTCGAACCCGAGTCGTAAAACTCGGCGAGCTCCTCGAACATCCCCATCTCCATCATCTCCTCCACCCGTTTGTCGAGGTACTCGAACAGAACCGGCAACGAGACATCGACCCAGAGGAAGCAACAGTCGTACCTCAGCTCCGAGCAGATCGAACCCGGCCCGGAAAACGGGTCGATACCCGGGTCGAATCGCTGGGTGAGGAGGGCGTGGATGAAGGAGTTGGATCCGCCAGCAATGATCGGGACCTTCGCGCGGGATATTATCTCGGAGATGGTGGCCGCGGCGGCTGAGCGGAAATCTGCGGCGGTAACCTCTCCGTCGTCGGGGTCGAACTCTCCGAGAAGGTGGTGGGGGACGCCGCGTCGGTCCGGGAGGGTAATCTGGTTGGTGGTGACGTGTAGAGCATTTTGTCGGAGTTGATGATCTCCGCCGGGAAAAGGGTGGCGAGATCGACGGAAAGGCTAGACTTTCCGGCGCCGGTGGCGCCCATGATGACGATGACTTTGTCCTTGCGGCGGCGTGTAGTGTAATCCATGCGTACGGACATGGGCCGTAGACGAGGGGGGTGTCGCCGGAGGTTCCGTACGGAGAGAGGGTACAGAGACAGAGACAAGAGCGAAGACGACGAGGAGGAAGAAGACGTCAGGCGGTCGGAGAGGAAGGAGGAGAAGGTGAGTTTGGGCATTGGTACGCTAAACGACAAAAAGGCTGTTTCGTACGGACTTGTTGTTGCATCAAAACGACAATGGTATGAAGAAGTTCTGCGTTTTGGTTCCTCTGTGAACCTTCCCTCCCTTTTTTTCTCAAGGGGAGAGCTCTTCCTCGGCTCCAATGGCGACGAGCTTATTATTATTGTTATTTCAACACTTCACGCTCGTCTTTGTCTCTCCTTATTTATTATTTTTCTTTGTGGTGAGGTACGAAATTTGTATAAAAAAAAATTAAAAACGAAGCTACAAAAAATAAGAAATCTATAGATTTTTATAATAGCGTCGAGGCATAATTCGGGGGGATTATTAATATATACTATTGTACTCAAGGGCCATTTTTGTCGTATCATTTTATAATATAACCTGTGTATGTGAATTGATATCCTAAGAATAACATGAGGTACAGTTTTTGTCGAATGGTCAGTACTTTTGCTTGCTTAATTACCTCTATTTCTTTTTATGGTAGAATAACAATTATAGTTTTTTCACCACTTATATTGCCCATGACAAATGTAATATATAAATAATTTGTTTATTTTTCTTAAAATTATATTGTCGGATATAAATAAAAACAACAAAAAAATCCCAAACCCACATATATTTTACAAAAAAAATATAATTGGTAAAAAAAAGCAGTGGAGATAACTATATATTGCCATTGATAATTTCCGTTTATTCAAATTAATTATCGTAACAGTACTTGAGTTTCAATAGCAAAATAGACAAGTTTCTCATCATAAAATTCTGTAAATAATATTTAAAGAAGGGTGTCCTAGAGGAACAGAAATGTCCTATAACGAAGTCATGAGTGCCATAACGTCTAACTAATGAAATATTTTCCCCAAAAGTATAGTGTAATTCTTAAGAATTTTTTTAATTAAAAAAAAAACTTGTTGGGCCACATTCGGACCACGAAATTCGTCACGGTTCTTGTTTTTTTGGGAACTGTAAGTTGTCGAAATCTGACATGGAAGAAGCAAACTGTTGAACAAGCAACGAGCGGTAACGATTCCTAGATAATGGGAATATGGTCGTTGCCACTTCTCCGATTGCTTTTTTTATTTTTTTGAAAATCCGAGTCTCGATTGTTACATAAAGCGTTACCTTTTTTTTTTATTATTTTTCATTTATGGTTGTATATATCAATAATTATTTGACATTATTATTGTTCGTTCATTCGTTATGGCCGGACCAGCCACGTTTCATTCTCAAAGGACACTGTCAAATCCGGTTCCATCCTTGGACCCGTGTTCACACACTCCTGCGTTACAATATATTATATCATATATATGTATGTATGTTTATATGCACATGTATGTGTATGTGCATGTGTATCACTTCGAACGAATGAAAGAGTTTCACATGTTATATATATATATATATATATACAGTGGCAGATCCAGAAAATTTTTTCACCGGGGGCAATACGATAATAGTAATATATATAATATACAAAATTAATAAAAATATATCGTCTAAAGAATATTTATATCGGATAACTGAATTTTACGTTTTTTATTTTTTAAATATATTTATGTAATTCAATTTCTAATTATTTTAAATATATTTTTGATAAAATAAATCAGATAATTTATAAAAAATTATGTATTCTCGTTAAAATTTTACCACAATATTAAGATAATATTACCAAATTATTTTAAAATAAATTTATCGATTTTTCTGATAAATCAAATAAAAAATTAAATAAATATATAAATATATATATAGATAAATTGATAAATATAATAAATACATAAAATCAAATAAAAAAATTGTTTAAAATAACAATCATAATTTTTAAATATGTTTAAATTTTTTTATTTATAGTTTTAGTTTGATTATTATTCAATTGATAATGATTTTTTGTTTGATCAAAGATAAAAATAACAACTTAAAAAATGGAAAACAAGAAAAAAAAGGAAAAAAATATGGGACATAAGATTTGATTTGTTAAATCTCGTAAAATACATTTAAAATGAAAAACGGTGGGGTCCAAACAAAATTTAAGTGGGGGCATTAAGGGTGTTTTTTTAGAATTTTTCTTAAATTCTATAAATAATTTAAAAAAAAATAAAAATTAGTGGGGGCCAGTGCCCCCACTCATTCTCAAGTGGATCCGCCTCTGTATATATATATATATGGGCGGTGGTGAAAGTGGAGGAAATTCAACGGAGATAAATGAAATTATGTCCTATTTTCATTTGTGAATATGCGTTATACATGTTGTATTTACATTGTCTATGTTCGATCCGAATAAAAATATAGGATTCGTCTCTTTGTGGGGGAAAAAAAAATTCTACGTAACATACGGTGTTGGTCGAACATTCATATATATATATATATACACACGTATATACACGTAGATTCCAAGCTTTTGAGATGATCTCTATATGGTTTCTGCATGAAAAATCATATTTTACCAATTCATCTTGAGTTGAGAGAAAAAAATTGAAAAATAGGTGAAATTTACATAATTATAGCAGAGTTTATATATAAAATTAGATATATTGTAACACCTAATAATACACAAATAATGTACGATAATCCCTAATGTTTTAGCGGAAAATATGATCTTTCTAATATGAACGTTTAACAACGTAGAATGAAATCCCAACCAAAAGGATTAGATGTCGGTTTCGTACCAAAAGTTCTAGTAGTCTTTTAATGACGTGAGATGACGAAAGTTGGTACATTTTCTTTTACATTAGTCCCATAATTTACGGTTTAAGGGTAAAACATCTCGAACTTTTCACTTTATTTTTTATTTTATATATCCACAACCACAATGGAAGATACCTAAATGATTTAAAATTTTAAAAGATATATATATATATATATATATGTATTATTGTTATTCTTCGTTTAATGAATGGAATATTACATATGTTTTATATGAATTCGTCTTACCATCAATGAAGAGCGTTACACATTTTGGAAACTATGAAGAAATTAATACTAAAAAAAATATTACAAAATTTGTCCGGTTAAATGGTTGGAATTTGCCAAAATATATGGGGAACAATTCATTGAATCACCAAATAATACATGTTCGTAGATTGATAGAAGGAATTAAATAAGAGAGTTGTTAATTAAGAGTCATAGTTTTAAATAAATCAAGAGATTCATCTACAATAATATTCTATTCTTTTGGTAATATTTAAATTATGATGATCTAATCTTTCATGCGCATGAATGTGTTGAATTCGGCTCTCAAAAGGAAGACTGAGTGGTGCAGTCAAAAAGAGGGTGAAGAAATTAAAGAGTTTTTAGAATTACATGCTTGAAAATGACAATCATATTCAAATTATATATATATATATATAATGGACAAAAGACCCTTTGGATAATGATTTGCTTCTCATTAAAAACCTTTCCTCTTTCAACCATTATATATGAAAAGAGATCAAATCATATGGAAACAAAGTTAAATTAAATCAAATAATCAAATCATATGAATATGGAATAAATCCAATAATGCACTTAATAATCCAATTTAGACACTTAATAAAATTTTTGTAGAAAATAAATAAAATCTCCTTTTTCTTTAAATATAGAATACATTTTTTTTCAACTTTTTGACTTCGCTTTTTATTAGTTTCCTTTTGTGCAATCATTATATATCGTACGAGGAGTTGGAATTTATAGTCATTGAAATTTCTGCCTAGGGTCTGCTTTAGAAGTTAGATTTGATATGCCGAAAAGATCACGTGAAAAATGAATTTAAATATATATTTCCATTTCTAATAATAATGATAAAAATAAAAAGATATATATATATATATATATATAGATATATCCATTTCTCCTTTGAATCGCACGTAACTCGCACGCACGCTCATGACAAGAGACTCTCCACATTTTGTTCGTATATATAGTTAATATATTTACAAAAAGGACAAATAAATAAAATATAATAGATCTAAAACCAAATTAAACATACCTTGCAATCTCAATCACCGATACGTTTTCCATATTTAAAACCATAATCTTAATTAATGACAAAATAACTCTAAGGTATGAATCAATGATTTTGTAATCTTTCGCCCTTTCGATTGACATATAGCCGACCCGGAATGGATATATCTTATAATCTTACACAGTATCCAAAGATTCTATGGTCAATCCCTAATAATAACTTGGCAAACCCTTCTTTTAAACAGCAGAATCACCTTAATTAAATTATCCGTAATCAAAATTAAGAAAAAAAATATTATTATTTTAGAAAGCCAAATCATCGACTGTCATATTTGAAAAATGCTGAGTCGTTTTAGTACATTAATATATATTATGGGAACCAATATACATATATTCAATGTAAGTTTCCTAGATAATATACTTTTTAGCCAATTAACAAAAAAAAAATTATTTTTTAGCCATGACTAGTACGTACGAAAACAAATGAAATTTCGAATTTAATTAGTAATCAAATTAAAAGAAAACAAAAAAAATATATTTGCTTCATGGATGTGTAAGCTGATGATGTTGATGTATGTTGCTATCATCAAGCTAGCTACTCCTTAATCATAATTTTAATAATACGCATTAATTATCATTAGATGAGTTGTATATTTTATTTTAGTTATGCCGCAAAGTCAACGTGGTCTCTAATCCAATATGAAATATTCAAAATATTTTTTAAGCCCTAATGGGATATGCTTATTAATTCATATTACTAAAACCTTCGTCCACATCATCAATATATTCAAGTAAAATTCACCAACAGTAAATTTGTACATACATATATAAATATATATACTCATATTCTGAAATTATTTCTATAATCATAGTATTCATATATTTTTCCTTGTTGGGATTTTTTCTTTGCCAACCGATTCAAATAGAGAAAATTGACATATATATATATATCGATATATAGTTTTTTTTTATAATCAATATGGTTTCTCAGAATTTCGGTCCAACTATATCCAACCTAGATCCGAGAACAACTTTTGTATATGGACTATTTTGATACAAAAATTACATCCCTTTCCACCGAGGGAATCGAACCAGGACTATAGCTATATATATGTATACACACGGTTCTGTATTGTTCTTTTATGCATGTGATCTATTATCATGTGGGAAAACGCATGTTATATGTACGTAAACGTACCCAAACATACATAAGCATAATACAAACGACGTCGAACAGTTCACATGAGGTGTATACACACACGCACACGTGTATACATACCCACATGTATGTGTGTGTGTATATATATATATTTATATGTGTGTGTATTGGCTGTCCAATCGGGTCATCAGCACATCATCTCAAAGTTACATCAATCGTGGTTAATGGCACATATATATATATATATATATATATATTGTGAACATGAATTAGCATAGTCAACGTTACAACAGAAACAATTTTTGGTACATATTTTCAGATTAGATGGCAGTCAAATAAATTGAAAAAGACCATATACATACATACATACATACATACATGCATGCATGCATATACTTACACCAACAAAAGGGAACATAAATGTAATTTAGCGTGACACTATACAAGCATAAAATGAGGGTAGACATATAAAATTAATTAGGGGATTAAGTAAGGAATTCAATAATTAATGAACTATCTAATACTAGTAATTAATAATTCAAAGAGCGATTATATAATCATAACACTAAATTACAATAAATAATTGAACAGAATAATAATGGCAGGAGAAATTGGGCAACGCCTCCACTTGGCTTCAGTCCAACTCAACAGTGCATTCATCCGGACCAGTGGCACTAATAATCAATGATTAATTGTCGTAGGTTTTGTCTCATATATATATATATATATATATATATATATATATATTCAAACAGAATATATATTTTATTGTTGCAAAGCCTTATGATTTTATAATGTATACACCCCCCAAGTTAACATAATACGTACAAAACTGTGGGGCCCCGAACTCCACGTCAGAGATTAATTAAACACATGAATAAATATAACAGTTAATTTGCCTTTCTATAAGATTCACGGAAATAACTACAATAAGCTTACACGTTGCTTTTATTTCGATCCCAAGGAAAATGACTTGATGACAACGATTAGAGATCACCATTCACATATAATAAATTCACACGCACTAAAAATTATATAATTTGATTCCATATCGATTCAAATCTAATTAAGATCTAACTTAGATTTGATTTTCTTTTTTTAAAAAATATTTTTTATTATTTTTTTATTTGGACACGTAAAACGGAAATTGTTCAATGCTCTAATTAGAAAATTAGAGAGTATAAAAATGAAAGTGAAGAAACGAAAAAGAGATAGACCTAGTTTTATTTGGAAACGGATCATTAGAAACGATTTGGATGTGTTTCGAATCTCGGAGGATATGACGCAAAACCGAAATGAGTGAAAAAAAGAATTTATGAGGTCGACCCCAATTAAATTTGGGTTTAAAGCGATATTGTTGTTGTATATTTAATTACTGTTTAGATTAAAATGTAGTTTATATATACACTTAGGAGACGGTTAGATTGGATTTAATTTAATATATTCTAAACCCTAATATGTCACTTCAAATTTAAAACCGCTTGTATACATTTTGGTCGGCGGGATGTGAAATTAAGACATAAATTACTTATAGTAAATCTCTATCACCAAAAAATTATATATAAATTGTTGATGTGTCGGTCTTAATAAAATTTAAAATCAACGGGGGTTCAGGTAAGTGATGTATGCAACTAAAGAACTGCCATCAAAATGCATGTGTGTGTGTGTGTGTCTTGTAACAAGGAAAACTATATTATTTGAATGCTTACAAGAGGAACACATCATTATGATGCTTGTCTGTTAACAAAGTAGATTCTTATGCAAGAACAAAAAAAAAAAAACTCTTTTTTTTTTGGCAAATCGAGCATCCACATGCTCTGATCACTCCACACGCGTGTCCCTATGCAAAAAGACACCATTATTTACTTAATTTTATTTTAATTACATGCTCAACAAGTATACTATTTAAATATTTAACGAAATGGTCGTACATTTTTTCGATTTTTGTATATAGAGATGGTTCTCGATATATTTATTTTAATTTTTTGGGTCTTCTAGAGATGGTTCCATTTTTCTAAATTTATGTGAAAAAACTTGGGGTTAGCATGTTAGCCCAAATAAAGTTTATATATATTTAAATGAAAGTTGTACTTAACAAATTCCCTACAAATTATAAAAATACTATCGTAATATTATGAAAATACTATAGATACATTATATTTTCCAAAATAAAATTTTAGTTATTTATCAATCATTTGCATAAGCAAACGGAGAAATTTTGTTGAATGCGAAATTCTAAAATTGAAGGTAATCGTTGTAACATGGGATTTATTAGCTATACAAACATGGGCTTCAAATTGGGCTGTGGCCCAATTTAAGCAAACCCAATTTATAATGGGCCATTGTAATATCACGTTTTGCACGTGATCTCGTTTTTCCGTCTTTATTTATTTTCATTTTCATTTTTTTTTCTGGTCAAATTTTGTATTTTGTCGCAGATTCAACTGCGGCACATTATGGACTTTCCTTTGACTCTCCCATTCGGATCTTCGCCGGATCTCAAACTTCTACGCCGCTGCATACCGAATTTCCCGATCACCTCCGATGGTCGGGCGAAGCTCCATCCGCTTGTTCTTGGAGCCGGAGTTTCGCCGGCGAGACGGAGATTCGCGGCGGCGATTGCGATGGTGAAACGAGCTCCGATCGATGGAGTAAGCAATGAGCTGAATCTGATCGCGTCGGAGAATCTAGATCAAGCTCCAGCACGGCGGCGCGTCCGGTCCGCCTTCTTCGATGTGCAGCAGCGGCTTGATCATTGTTTGTTCAAGGTCCGTTTCGATATCTGGAGATCATTGGACTTCTGCTCCATCTCTTTTCCGTTTTTGACTCTGTTTTTTTTAATTCTATCCTCTCTGAACTTCCGAATCCGGCGACAGAGGGCTCCTCCAGGAATCAGAACAGAGGAGGTAAGCGGTACTGATTTTATCTGGTGCTCTTGTGTTTGTTCTTGGAGAAAATGCTGAGAATGAATGTTCAAGTAAATGTGGAAATTAGTGTATTCCACGCTATTCTGTCGTGTGTTTGATCGAATTCATGAGTGATTGAATCCTAATAAAGTGGTCATTCGGTGGAGATCTGAGTAAATTTTGTTTTGGCACCTGATAGTGGTACGAGAGAAATTCTAAGGGAATGGAAATTTTCTGTAAGAGTTGGTTGCCGGAACTAGACATCGGAATCAAAGCTGCGGTCTGCTTCTGTCATGGTTATGGCGACACTTGCACTTTCTTCTTCGATGGTTTGTCAGCTTTACCAATCGGAAATCTTTGCATCATTACTTGTTTGTATCCTCAAATCATTTGCCTATGAGTTCAGTTATGGTGAAAGAGTTTATAAAGGGAGAAACTTTGGAATTTTGCAGGCATTGCAAAGCAAATTGCAGCTTCCGGGTATGCAGTTTATGCGATAGACCATCCTGGTTTCGGTCTATCAGATGGTCTGCATGGTTACATCCCGAGTTTCGATGAACTAGCTGAAAATGCTATCGAACAGTACACCAAAATCAAAGGTAGAAAAGGGAACCCTTTTTCTAGATTCGTTTGTCGTTTCTCTTGCATTTTCTTAAGGAGGTTCAATTCTTTAGGGAGACCCGAATTGAGAGGTTTGCCCCGGTTCTTGTTTGGACAGTCAATGGGTGGAGCTGTTGCCTTGAAAGTTCATCTGAAGGAACCTCAAGCTTGGAATGGACTTATCCTTGTTGCCCCAATGTGTAAGGTAATTCAGCCATTGCCTTCGGATTTATGAGCATATCATCCAACCTAATGTTGTGACTTTGCTAATGTCATTTTGGTAAGAAGTAACATCGGATTTGAAATTTCGTTTGTTGAAGCTGCCCATTAGTTTATGTTCTTGGATATGTGATTTTGAGTTGGCTTCAAGATTGCAGAAGATGTTAAACCTCCTCCACCAGTCTTGAAGGCATTGATCCTGATGTCGACATTATTTCCCAAAGCAAAGCTCTTTCCAAAGAAAGATCTGAGCGATCTTTTCTTCAGAGACCCGACAAAAAGAAAAATGGTGAATTTCCTCATGTTCGATCCGATCCATCGATAAAACCAACTTTTGAGACTGAAATCAAGTAAAAAAATTCTGTTTGTGGTTCCAATAACTGATTCATGCTGTCTGTGACGATAGGGTAGCTACAATGTGATCAGTTACGATGACCAAACACGTCTTCGGACTGCAGTGGAACTTCTGAACACAACAAGAGACATCGAGATGAAGGTCGATAAGGTCAGTGTAATAATTCTTCACCGACATCTCTAAACTCCCGTCTTTGTTTAAGCCTCAATGCTGTATATATATATATTGTCAGGTCTCGTCGCCACTTCTGATACTTCATGGAGCTGCGGATAAAGTGACAGATCCTCTAGTGAGCAAGTTTCTTTACGAGAAAGCGACCAGCCAAGACAAAACACTAAAACTATATGATGGAAGCTACCATTGCATTCTTGAAGGCGAATCCGACGATCGAATTCTCGAAGTGATCAGCGATATCATCGATTGGCTCGACGCCCATTCCCCGGACGAGCGAGAATAAATCCACACTGTTTTCCAGAATTTTTTCTAAATCCATATTCTCCAAATTTGATATCATCTTCAAGATACCATATATCTCATATTCTTCAAGGTATGTTATATCTCCTAACAGTTTTAAACTATAGTTTACCATTGTTGGCATAATAATCTCTACATAATTTGCAGAAAATATTATGGAGAAGAATGCATTTTTACATTCTGTATTTGATTAGGTTATGTGTTGGAGGTCGAAATAAATTTATTCGATATGGCCCTTTTTATCTAGTTTTCTCCAAAAATTTTCAAAAAAAAAAAAAGATAATAAGGTTGGCGAAATTTTTTTTATGCCATTCTCCTTTAAAAAATTACAAATTTTACTTGGAGGATTGAGGTATGTAATAATAATATTTGGGCCATATTGGACCCATAAATTCAACAAACAATAAATTGGGTCAGCGTAATATGGGCTCTTCTGTTAACTTATTGGGCTTCAAACTTGTTAATGGGCCTAATGATCCCTTTTAGGAATCCAACGAGAGAATTTTATGGGCTCACAATCTCGAGAATTTCGTGCTCACGTCATGGAACTGGGAATCTTTTTCTCCCGTCATCATCCCCGACCAGAGCTCCTCCGGGCGGTTTCGCGTGTAGATTGCTCGTTTTGTCCGATGCAATGTCGCTCCTTAACCAGCTCTTCAATCGTGGGATCTTCGGCGCCAAATGGTTCCTTCTTCTTCTCTTTTCTTAGTCTTCTGCTCAAGATTGTCGGGGTTTTTTTTTTCGCGGAGGGTTTATGATTTTAGGGTTTGGATGGATTTAGACTTGATCATCTGTTTTCTTCGTATAATCCTTTGATTGCCTTTTGAAATTTCTGTCTCCGACTTACAGAAAATACTCCTTTCGGTGATTTTATAGCTTATGGCCCTTCTAAGGGATCTGATTAGGGAATAAATTTTAGCCCTTGTTTGATGACTCTTTCTTCCCCTTAAATCGACAGCAAGACATGCTTGAATCTGGCGATCTCTCGGATTAAATTGCTGCAGAACAAGAGGGATATGCAGCTCAAGCATATGAAGAAGGAGATAGCTCAGTTCTTGCAGGCTGGACAAGAACCCATAGCTCGAATCAGGGTCTTTTCTTTGACCAGATTATGGTTTGACCCTGTTGTTTAATTGAGCAATGGAAGTCAAAGCTGTTGTCTTTTTCTTGTTCTGAGTTTAGGTGGAGCATGTTGTTAGAGAGCTGAACTTGTGGGCTGCTTATGAGATATTGGAGCTTTTCTGCGAGTTTGTACTTGCCCGTGTACCGGTTCTTGAAACACAGAAGTGAGTATTCGAATCATCGTTTAATCTTTCTGTCGATAGGAACATCGTTTCACAGGGTTCGTCTTGTTTTTCTAAGTTGAAATGTATAACATCTAAAGTGGCTTTTGTTCTTTGAGTTCGTGTTCATGAGAATACCTTGTGTATATTTGTGGTTTCCATTCTATAGGGAATGCCCAAGAGAGTTGAGGGAAGCAATTTCTAGCATCATCTTTGCTGCTCCCAGATGCTCAGAAGTGCCAGATCTTCTTCAAATCAGGAACCTGTTTGGTTCAAAATATGGCAAAGAGTTTATCATGTCTGCTTCTGAGCTCCGCCCTGATTCGGGTGTTAATCGAACAGTTAATATACTTGGGACAGTTTCTTCCTTATCCGTGTTTTATATATATATAACTGACACGATTGTAATGGCCTTCGGCAGATCATTGAAAAGCTTTCTCCTAGTGCTCCATCAGGAGAGGTAAAGCTCAAGCTTCTGAAGGAAATTGCCCAGGAGTACAATTTGAATTGGGATTCTTCTGCCACCGAAGCTGAGTTCAGGAAGAGCCATGAAGACCTTCTGGTAATAATTTCCCTGTCTCCTTTCAAGGAGCATGCCAATCAGGATATATGAATTTTGATACAAACTCATCCACATTATGAACTAACAGTAAGTAAGCTTAAACAAAGCATAGGAAACATTTGAACTCTCCCTCGATATTTTGTAGGGTGGATCGAAGGAAATAAGCCGTAAAGCCGCTGTTACTGAATCTCCTCTGTCTAAAAAGAACTCATTTAAGTCATCGACGGCTACTACTTCGAGTGAATCGGAAATTCTGCCTGCAGAGACAGAACAGAGACTCAGACAGCTTCAAGCTCAAACCCCGGCAGCATCAAATGTGAAGATTTCCGCTTCTGAAGATTCTGAAAGGGACCAGACGTCAAGCGAAGTTATGAAAATAGCTCAAGCAGCCATTGCCAGCGCCGAACGTGCAACTGCATCTGCTCGAGCCGCTGCTCAACTTGTGAATCTTTCCTATTTGCCATTCCCATCCAATACAGAAGGCAAGCCATGAACTTTTATCACACTCTTACCCTTTTTCTAAAGATGTAAAAGTATATTTGAGATCGTATGTATGATTACGATAAGGCAAGACGAGACAAGACACTCGTAGATTTAGATTATACTTGAAATTGTGTCTGAGTGCGTGTGTGTGTGTGTGTGAGTGAGTGAGGATATTCTCCTGTTTTTTTAGTCATTTTAATAAATATAATTTGTGTTATAAATAAAATATATTTATGGTGGAACTCACCGTTACTGTTCACACCGATTTTACTGTTCATATATACGGCACTATTCACACCGACCGTACTGTTCACATATACCGCCTTACTTATTAATAAACTATTATGTTTATTATTTATGGACGGCAATGCCGCCTCAAATATTTTGCTTCTACATATGGCAATGCTGCCATATATAATCAGGATGTTACCTAATCTATGTAAATTTATATTAACCGTATAAAATATTACCATATATAATATAAATTTATAACATTTATTTATACAAAAAAATAATATAAACTTAATCTAATAAATATATTAGTGATAAATTTTATATATATAAATTTTTACAAATTTTTCATATAACGATAGATTAATTATAAATTATTTGATTCCTCAATAATTAGTTAATTATAAGCATAACATGATCAAATAATTTTACAAAATAGTTTAATAATTCGTTTTGATAAATTATTTTGTGTATAGTTTATAATATAAATTGATAAAATAATTTATAAATTTTTCAAAATTTATTTTTCTCCAACGGCTATATTTAAAAAAATAAAACAAAATCAAATTTTGGCTCCTCCCAAACGGATAGGAATAGTAAATTTTACCCTATAAATACACCCATCCATTCACTCAAACAATTCACACCAAATCATCTCATTATCTTCTCTTCTTCCACGAAAAAAAAAAAATCTCTCAAGATGAAATTCATCAAAATTCTCTTTGTTTTAACAATTTTAGCAGCAACGTTTAGTATTTTCTTCGATAAAAATCCCGACCCACTTTTGTTTTCAATTTGCGTTGCAGTCTTACCTTTCGTTTATGTGTTACTAATTATAGAAATTTATTTATAATCATGTATTTCACTATGTTGTGTTATCCACGGTAATGAATAAAGCTAATGTATGACATTTTTTTGTTTAGTCATAATGACAAGAATGACAAATATCGAGCATAAGGTCCTCGACATATCGGGAAACAATTATTTATCATGGCACTTAGATGTTGAGTTGTATCTCAAATCAAAAGGTCTTGATACCATTATTAAAGAAAAAAGTGCATCAAACGAGAATAAGGCAAAGGTTGCGACATCATCTTCATGATGATTTGGAAAAGGAATATTTGACAATCAAATATCCTACAAATCTTTGATTAAAATTAAAAGACCGTTTTGATCATCAAAAAACGGTGATCATGGGATCCTCCCCAAGGCAAAATATGACTGGATGCATCTCCGATTTCAAGATTTCAAGTATGTCAGTGAATATAACTCATCAATGTATCAAATCATCTCGATTCTAAAATCATGTGGAGAAACAGTCACTGAAAATGAGCGGTTAGAGAAAACATTCTCAACTATGCATGCCTCGAATATTATACTCCAACAACAATATCAAAAAAAGGGTATACAAAATATTCAGAACTTTTATCATGTCTCCTATTGGCTGAACAAAATAAAGAGTTGTTAATGAAAAATCACGCACCACGACCAACTAGATTTGTACCATTCCCTGAAGCGAATGCTACAGAAAACAAGTCATTTTCTGAAGCAAATGCTACAAAATAACATCATTCCCTTGAGCGAATGTTATGTCTTATAATAGTCGAGGACGTGGTTATTTTCGAGGTCGAGGACGCGGTCGTGGTACCAACCGAAGATGGATCAAAGGAGGTGATCAAGAAAACTCATCCCAAAACCATAATTTTAACAGTAATAAAGATGAAGCACATGATCATCCAAACAAGAGGATGAAAAAAAGTACATGCCACCGGTGTGGAATGACGGGATATTGGTCGCATACTTGCCACACTGCTAAACACCTGGTGGAACTTTATCAGAAGTCGATTAAAAAAACAAAAGGGAAAGAAAGACATGGACCAATCATGTCATGAGTGATTATGATGATGATGCTAGTGGTGCTAAAGACTTTGCACATATGGACCATGCTGATGATTTTGCCCATCCTGAAGATGAAGTCGGTTATGAATAAAAACTATATAAAGATTTGCATACTTCATATAATCAATCTTATCTACATATGCATTTTCATGTATAAATAATTTTATGATATGTTGTGCTTTGTATCACTATTTTTACTTCATAAGTTAGTAATGCTATTATGTATTATTAATATATCTATTTTTTTTAATGATTGTCATGTTGTTTTGTTCTTAGAAAAAGAATTAGCTAAATTTGTGGATATCATATTGAAACTATGAATGAGGATGACATTGAGTATTTATATATCACCTCAATCAATTCGAGATAAAAGTATGTGTTGGAAAAACTACTCATTCTATCATCGGGATTATATTATACTAATATTAATGTGATTGAATCTCATGTCATAGTAAACCAGAAACTTACTGATACATTCAAAGTTTAGCATGATCGATTGGGCCACCCAGTGCCATTATAATGAGAAAAATCATCGAAAACTTTTATAGTTATCCATTAAAAAACCAGAAGTTTTTTCAATCGGATGAGCTTTCTTGTGACGCATGTTCTAGAGAAAAATTAATAATTAGAGCATCACAAGTCAAAATCAGGCATGAATTTTTGGAAAGTATATATTGAGTACGATTCGTTATTTATTATACGATATCTTGAGCCACAAACTGGAGATTTTTTTATGGCTCATTTTGGTTATTGTCATTTTAATGAAATTGAATTTCCACCATTAGGGGGAGAAAATTATAGAATGGTGGGACATGAAAATGATCTTAATTGATGTACACCATCTTTATCCCACTTTGATCCCCAGCAAAACAACGAGAATAATAAGTTCAAAGGATTATACATTTGCAGAATGTTACAAATCAGTTACCTGATGCAGTTGCAGATACAACTAGGGTAATAAGATCATATGTTGCAAATGAAAGAAAAATCGACAAACGATTCCAAAACACGCCTGAAACGTGGACGACTTATTGGTTCTAAGGATAAAAACTCCCGAAAGAGCAAAGGGCCCAAGAAAAATGAAATGCTCAATTCGGAGGAACGCGTTCCAAATCAAAGAAATGAAGTACCTTGTGATGATGGTATAAATCCAGATAATGGAAATCATGAGATCTCAATTAATTATATAAGTAATGGTACATTATGGAATCGAAAAGAAATCAAAGAGATTGAAGATATATTTTCTTATAATGTATCAAAGGAAATTGAGGAAAATGAGGATCCAGAACTCAGATCTATTTCGGAGTGTCAAAAGAGACCAGATTGGAATAAATGGAGAGACGCAATACAAGCTAAATTAGATTCGCTTAATAAGCGAAATGTATTTGGACATATTGTTATTAAAACCGAAAAAAATTTCTCCTATTGGATGTAAATGGGTGTTTATGTGGAAAAAAATGAGCACAACGAAATTATAAGATGTAAAGTTCGTCTTGTAGTACAAGGATTTTCCCAAAGACCAGAAGTAGATTACGAGGAAACTTATTCTCATGTTATGGATAGTTTTACATTTCGATACCTAATTAGTCTTGCAGTTTCAAAGAATTTAGAAATGCATCTCATGGATGTTGTTACTACTTATTTATATGGTTCACTTGACACGAGTATCCATATGAAAGTCCCTGAAGTATTTAAAATGTCCGAAACATTGAAAGCAAAACCACGAGAGTTATGTGCTGTCAAGTTACAACGATCATTGTATGAGCTAAAAGAATCAGGACATATGTGGTATAAACGACTGAGTGAGTATTTATTGAAAAATGGATATACAAATGATCACATATCACCATGTGTATTTATCAAAAGGGTAAAACCCCTAAAAAACCTCCAACTTGCAAAAATATATACAAATAAACCTTCAACTTGAAAAACTATCATTCAATCCCCGAACTTGTAACTTGTCACTGACATTACAAAAAAAATGGTCATTTCCAACGGGTAAATCCGTTGGAAATGGCCAAATTTCCGTTGGAAATTAACGTTTCCAACGGATTTCCAACGGATTTATCCGTTGGAATTTCGTCATTAGAAATCGGTGTCCGTTGGAATTTTCAACGGAATTGCAACGAAGTTTTCCGTTGAAAATTTCCAACGGATTTCCAACCGGCATCCGTTGGAATTTTCCAACGGATTTCCAACCGCAATCCGTTGGAATTTTCCAACGGAATTTTCAACTGCATTCCGTTGGAATTTTCCAACGAAAAATTCGAAACATATTCCCGACCCGACCCCGACCCTGACCCCGACATCGACACCGACATCGACACCAACCCGATCCAACCAAACCACGATCCCGAAACTCACTTCCCA